GATAACTCAAATTCATTTTACGCCAATCGTCCTTGTCGACATGGTTCCCCACAATTTTCGCTGTCACCGCTAATCATGCCTCCCATAAAGCAATCGAACAATCCAGAACAAAATTTAACACAAGCAAGTCCCACCGGTGCATCAACGGCCTATGAAACTAATTTGACCCATTGGCGGGACGACCATGGGGGCAGAAATATTGGCAAATTCAGCGGTTTTCGAGGTGCCATGGGCTTGGCGCGACGTCTCCGACGTATGGTAATGGCTGAGCATTTAGGCGTCCTAGAGTTTTTACGGAGTAAAAGTAAAATTCCATCTTCAAAATCGAATGATTCGATTAGGTCTACAAAACCAGGATACGACCGGTCGGAATGCAATCAGGCCCAATATCGGCAGAAGCAAGGGGCAATTCAATTCCATCCACCAACTACACGATCATTCATGACTGCAGTGGAAGATGCTGCCAAACAAGTGGATAATATAAATGAGGAAGAGAAGCATAATGGCAAAGAAGTGCATGATCAAAATAAGGCGTTTCATCCCGATTGGGATCTGCATCTTCTTGATGACCCCGTCTGTGATGCATTTTTTCACGGTGTCTGGAATCGAATCGCTGATAATAATGACAGAATTTTTGACCAGGTTAGTTACGTCCGTATAGTTTTCGATCACGTACTTTACTTTGCCGCTGAATCAAAATTAGCTCATGGAGTTTGATCTCTGAAAATAATTTTTGGCGTCCTAATTAATTTGGCTAAGTCTAGGAAGTATATAAAGCATCTTATAATTATTCCTAACATAATTAGCTCTATTTAATAATCAAATTTCTTAATAAAGTATGCTTATTCTAGTATGTATTTAATCTGGGTAATTAAACCGTTAGGTGTTCATCGAAATCTCGATTTATACTTACTTCATAATGTATTTATTCTTATAGCGAGTTTATAAAATATGACTAAATTAAGAGCTGCATCCACCTTTATTTGTTCAAGGTGATAAAGTACTATAAAGTAAATTTTCCTACAATGATATGAATGTGCTTCATATCTCTTTTGAATCTCACAATGCCTTGCTTTTTTAAAGATAGTCTCATTCAGAATGTATTGCAGTTTAGGACTTATCTATGGCTCCTCAGCATCCTCAGCGGGACTCGGAGCCGGGTAGTGTGGGTTATAATCTCGACGCATTAGCCACTATACCACACATACCCCCGGATCACAGGGTAGAAGTGAACTTTAAGGACGCCTAGATCTTTTCGATATTACATTTCTGGGGTAGGATTATCGATAAATAGATGTATTTGCCATAGCAATCGACTAAATTACGTTATTTTATATTAGAAGTAGGTTCTCAGACTATCCATAGTTGATTAAATGCTAATAGTTGGATTTTCCCACAGCTATATGGATAGGCTTCATGATTCTATTGAAGTTAGTATATATATATATATATATAATTTAATATAGCCTTGATTTCTAAAAAAGTATTCTTAGCCAGGCTGAAGCGTACTGCCGTTTTGACTTCACCTATGTCTCATCAGCAGCCCTGGCGAGACTCGGAGACATTTAATCTAGCTAAGTCAACTGCTACGCTACACTCCTATGAATGCTCCTAGGTCACAGAGCAGATTTTAATTACAAGGAAGGCATGCAATTTTCTCAGATCTCATTCAGGTGGTGAGCCGAATACTAGATCAAACGAGGTGGAAACTGTAGTCCTCTTCTGCATTGAGGAGAAAACCTTTGGGGAAGAAAGGGTATTATGAATTCAGTGTTAACGTAAAGTGCACTCATATTATGGTTGGAATTCAGTTGTCAAAACCTTAACGAAATTAGATGGATATATCCCACATATATGATAAAATGATAGTCTTGAAAATCTACCAATTAAATAATAATTATCATCACATATATCTGAATGTCGAATGATTATGCGTATCGCGAAGCAATGAATTTCACACATATCGACAAAGGATTTCAAACTTAGTGTCTTTTAAATTTTTACTTTTGTTTCTATGGAATATTACAAATCAAAATTCTTTTATCTTTTACTTAGGTATTTAATACTATTCCATCTAATCGACTTCTTTCTTTTCGGGAGTGTGAAGTTCGAAGGCGCGAGCTCCCTTTGCACGTCACCTCACCAAGCAAAGCTATAGAGCTTTTGGCGGAGGTTGCTGGCCACCTCGTCAGATACCCCGAACGATTTCTTGCATCTGAGAGCCTGGAACCTCCAATTGCTACATTAGAAACAATTTCTCCTATTTACTTATGGACGTAAATCATTTAAGAATAAAACATTTTTTACAATTCCTTAAATATCTGTATGACTGAATGCCAGAGGGGAAGTTATTTTCAAATACTCTGATATCATGCATTCCACAAAACGGACGCTAAATATAATCTTGGCTTGTAGAATCCTTTTTTTCTGAAATTTGCCATTAATTATATACGGCTTTTACAAAAAATAACTTTATATAAATTTTTTTTTGCACTCAAGTATTTATTACTAAAGTATGGCCGCATAAATTCTTAACATATTAATCTTGTTAAATCTCCGGCGAA